CTAGATTCTTTACTTTGAATTCAGTATTGAGAAAGTCTTTGATGCTTTGAATTTCTTGTGAATCATCCCCTATTAATAGGATATCATCTACATGAACGGATAGAATAGAAATAAGTCCTCATGTTTGCTTGAAAAATAGAGAATAATCATTCAATGGGGATGAGTAACCTTTGAAACTTAATGCCCTTGCAAGCCGAGCATACCACTGCTAGGAAGCTTGCTTTAAACCATATAAAGACTTTCTTAAAAGACAAACATATGTAGGGGGTAAGTGGTGTCAAACCTATTGGGAACTTCATGTACACTTTCTTTTGTAGGTCGCCATGCAAAAATGCATTATTCTTATCTAATTAAGACACATTCCAACCTCTTTTAGATGCAATAGTAAGGAAACATCTTATAGTTGTCATTTTTATCACTGGTAAAAATATTTCACTATAATCTATTTCTTCTCTTTGGATATCTTCCCTTACTAGAAGCCTTGCCTTTAGTCTCTCAATAGTGCCATCAGATAAGTGTTTCACCTTGTAAACCCACTTGCAAGGTAATTCTTCTTCCATTTAGGCAACTCAATCACTTCCCAGGTGTGGTTGTCCTATAGAGCTTGAATTTTTGATTTCATGGCTTGCCTCTACCCTGGATGTTGAGAGGCTTGTGTGTAATTACTAAGCTCACTCAATGTAGATAAAGATTGGATGAGGTTCTGATTATTGATGGTTAGAGATGAAAAGGAGTAAGCACTTGACTTACTTGGTTGAGAAAAACATGCCTTGTCCAAATCAGCAAACATAATACTTTTAGTTTTCATCTCCAATAGTTTGTAACCTTTTTGATGCAAAGGATTTCCAATTAAGACACATGCAGTTGCTCTCTCATCAAACTTGCTTCTTCCTTGTGTCAAAGTAGAAGCATAACATAGATACCCAAAGTTCCGCAAATATTCATATTGAGGCTTTTGTTGAAAGAGCACTTCATATGGTGTCTTGCCTTTCAGCACACTAGAGGGCAGTCTATTTATGATATGTGTTGCAGTTAGAATAGACTCTCCCCAGTATGATATAGAAAGACTAGATTAAAACATCAATCCCCTTGCTACCTCCAAAAATTACATGTGCTTCCTCTCAACAATTCCATTTTGTTGAGGAGTTGCCACACAAGATAGTTGATGTATGATCCCTTCTGAAGCAAGAAACGCTGCTTCTTGTGTCCCCTTTCCCAATTCCAAATCATCGTCAGATCTTATCATCTTAACCTTCACATTGAATTATCTTTCCACCATTTAAGCATAGGAAAAGCATTACTTTTGGCACTCAATAAGAATGTCCAAGTTCCTCTACTGTAGTCATCAACTATAGTGAGAAAATACTTGAAATCATCATAAGTGCTAGACTTATAAGATCCCCAAGTGTCAACATATATAAAATTAAAAGCTCATACTACTGATGGGAAAAGGTTTTCTAGTCTGTTTAGCCTTAGGAAAAATATCGCAAATAAAATTAGAATTGGAACCACAATGAAGGAAATGTAAATGTTTCATTGCTAAAAATGGAACAATGGAACATGACCCAACCTTACATGCCAAAGCTTTACATCAGAAATAACATTAACATGTACTGGATTGGAAGCTAAAATAGATTTTGAAATGGAATCTCTTGCTTTTGGAAATGGAATTACATCATTACTAAACAGAGTTCTAGACTTAATACTAGTGGGTTCTAATAGGTAGGGTCCTTCTCTAACTTCACCAAAAGCTTGAGGACTCCTCATTGAAAGGCCCTGCAATAGACATCCACTAGATATAAGTAGGACAACATACTTGAATTGAACACAGAACTTATGAACATACAACAAATTGCATTTAAAATCTGGTACATAAAGCACAATGGTTAAAACATGACCCGGCAGAATAGAAATACTCCCTATATGAGTAACACTTACTTTGAAAGAATTAGGTAAACTGATGTTCAAAGGTACAGGGAGTGGAATTAAAAACAAGAAAGAGTTAGGATCAAAACACATGTGTTCTGATACTCCAGAATCAATTATCCATGTGTCTGATTTTAGGCTATTAAATGCTAAACCTGAGTATTTTAGAATAGTACCAGCAACTACATTGGCATTAATTCCTGAGCTTCCTATTTGTGCTGATTTTGTCTGCTTATATATCTGCATCATCTCTGCAATTTGTGCTTTGTTAAACTACTGTCCAAAACTATTGCTGTTGTTCTCACTATTCTGTCCTGTTACACTTACATCCTCATGTGTTGTCACCACATTTTCCTTGACTTGGTTCTGATAAGTTTTTGGGTTAGTGAACTCAAAATCATTTGGGAACTCAATTAGTCTGTAACAAGCCTCTTGTGTATGTCTTATCTTTCCACAATAGGTACAAGAAACATTGGGATTATGCTTCTTCTTCCCTTTGAATTTTTGTTGTGGTTTTGCAACCTTTTGAGTTGAATTGTTGAACCTTTGAGCTGCTATTGCCCTTCTTGGTGTCTGATTTCTGAACCTCTGATTACTCCTTCCATGTCTTGTTACCATGATAGTTGCAAATTCAACTAAAATTTGTGCATTATGATGTTTCCCTTGTCCAGGAACCATAAAAGAAGCAGAATTTGAGCTGAAATGTGCATTTGCATATACTTCTCTCTGATTTTTATTTTGCAAAAGGAGTGTATATGCAATATCCATACTAGGCAAAGGGCTCATCATAAGAATATTTCCTCTTGCCTGTGCATACACATCATTAAATCCCATCAAAAATTGAATCAGCCTTTGATATTCCAAGGACTTAGTTAACTTTGCCTTTCCCTCACACACACATACACATGAACAAGATATGATTACATTCAGTGCATCTAGTTCATCCCACTTAAGTTTAGTGAAGTATCTAGCAATGTCACTGTTACCTTGTACTAAACTTGATAACTCCTTTTGTAGGTGGTAAAGTTTGGCACTATTTGATTGCCAAACCTCTGCTCCAAGCTGTCCTAGAGTTCCTTTTATGTCTTGGAGTATATGACACTGTCAGCAATGTCCTTTGACAATGCATTTAAGATCCAAGATGTAACTATGTCATTGACACAACTACACTGCTCGTATTCAGCAGAGTTCATATCCGGAGACTTGCAAGCTCCATTGATGAAGCCAAGCCTTTTCTTGGCTGATAAAGATAGAAGAATAGATCTCTCCCATCCTTGATAACCTCTTCCATCAAACACAATGTTGACTAGAGTCATACCAGGTGAATCAGAGTTATTAAGGTGATAGGGATGATTGATGTCATATCCGACTGCCTTAGCAGCGTTGCTTGTTTCTGCAACTGTGATTTCAGCCGAATCAGACATTTTTCGTTACTGGAAGTTCAAGAATGAATTTGATGGTGAAAAACACTGTTGGATCGAGCTTATTGCTCTGATACCATGTAATAAATTGAAGAAGAGAGACTGCAGAATTAGAAAAATTTTCGTGGGGTATTATTCATCTGTTTGTACATGTATATATAGACTTGAATTTTGAATAAAAGAATAGAAAAAGAAAATACTAATTACACTTGTCCTATTCTAATATGTCTAACTATAACAGAAAAAATCTATCCTAACTACTAATATTCCCTCACGTGCTATTCATATGAGGGAAGAAGCTTCTAGTATTAAAATGATCCAACGATAGAGATTTGATCCATCATGGGCTTGATGTGTGGCTGTGATCCATTATAAATAATCAGCTACAACCAAATAAAATAGACCCGACACATTCATCCTAGGTTATATCGAACATAACCCTAGTTTGGCCGATCTTCATCTTCTCTTTCTCCTCTCTTCTGTTGACACTCTTTATCTCCATTGATTACCAAACTAAGGTGGGGTTTCGTCTTTCTAACACCCCCC